ATCGTGTGTCAGGGGCAACCTATGCGGAGAAGTACTTATGCTATAAAAGAGTCGTTCTCCCTGAGGCCTGCCCCCAACCCACTTTGCAGGGAGGAGAGGGGACTTGACTGGGCCCCCAGTGGGCTTTTGATATCACCAGTGCTCAGAGTTGGATGGCTGCTCCTGTGCCCTGGCTTGTCCCCTCACTCTATCGGGGGGGGGATGCCGCCTCCAAAGGCCGATGGGCTTGCCCCAGTCACGCGGCACAGGGTCCAGCTGAGACACGCACCCTCCCCGCTGAGCACCACAGCACAGCCCAAGGCTGGTAACGGCCGAGCTGCTCCTGTGTCAGTTCTGCCGGGGAAACAGGGACAAGGTCAGCCTCAGGCCTGGTCACCTGAGAGTCATGCCATGGAGGAAGGGCAGTGCCAGGCCGTGGCCGGCAGTAGGGCACCCAATTCAATTTGCTTATCTCTCTTCCTGCCTCCCTCTTTCCTGTGCTCTTCAATTACAGGCAGCGTCAGTGTTTTTTCCAATAAGTACAGAGATGTCAAAGGAGCTGAGTGGGCAGGGGAAACAGGACGTCTGTAGTGACCCTCCATACTCTTAGTTCTAACTTTGGAGCAGAAAGGAAGGACCAGCCTAGGTTGTCAGGCTCAGGCCAGCTGGCAGCTGGACAACAGAAATCAAAGGTTAAAATGGAGTGATCCTAGCCAGCAAAATTTTTCCTGGAGAAAAAATTTTTTTTCACAGCTGTACAAAGATGTTTCTGACACCACTGTTTAGACCAGCAAGAGGCTAGAAACAACCTAAAGATACCCACCAGGAGGGGTGTGTCCTGAGGCTGCTTCAGTATTAACGTGCTCTTGTGCTTTGTCTTGGTGCTGGGATACAAGGCAGGTGTTAGAACAGGAATGCCGGACGGAGAATAAATTCCAAGACCCATTGGTAAGAAAAGCCAAGGGAAGGGTGGGTGTGAATGTCTTTGTACCTTTTACATGAATTGGAACCAGGAGACCATGGTGATGTAACCAGACACTGATGCTACCAGCCCGGGAATAGTAAGAGCTTTGCTGAAACAGAAGGGAGGGGGCGGGGAGAGAAGGGACCAGTGAGAGCACCCGGGGCCCAGTCTTCAGTAGCTGGGATCAAGGTACCTTTAAAGTGGATGTTGGGTAACAGAAGTTTGAAAGTAGGATGTCAACTTCAAGAAAATGTTGTACTAAGAGGAAATACTCATTTTGTCATTTTGTTCACTTTAGGGTAAGTAACAGATTCTGTTCCAAAGAAACAGAGGATGAGAATATTATTTCAAGTTATACCACCAGAACGAAAGTCTCATCCTCCCTGACTAGTAGGTGCACCAAAGCAAGCAGAGAACGTGTCACACCGGGGAAGACTGTTAAGAGCAATGAGGGAAAAGCACAATGATTGAGGTAAGACCAATGTAGATGAGCTAAGCTCGCCTATTAATCTTCTTTTAAAAAGGCACTCAGATTGGATCACAAAGCTTCATCCAGCTCTACATGATGAGTCACACCTGAACAAAGTCATTCGGAAAGGTTGAAACAAAAGGTTTGGCAAAGTTTTCAGGAAAAAATGTGAATTAAAAAGCAGAGGGTGCCACGTTAATAGGTAAAGTGAGTCCAGGCCAAGTGCATCAAAGAAGAGTTCAGTTCACTAGGAAGAGTGAAGGCATCAGTCCCTCTGTGCAAATAACGTGCTGTCTCCGCTCGTAGGGGCCTGGCTTTAGGTCCAACAAGAAGTAGCTGGAACACATCCTGAGTAGGTGTGGTTCGTTTCTCGATCCCTGGCTGGTAAGGAGGGAGTCAGAAAAGCTGGCTAAAATAATGGAGATGTAGTAGGTTCCCATCAGTCTGACTCCTGCTACCAGAGCCTCGCCTGCTTTTTAAGTCCCCATAAAAGTCAAGATCACCGGAGATTATACCACAAAGAAAATGTACTGAAGCCTAAAAAAGCAGAAATCAGACCATTCTCTGATTACAAGGCATTCAAACTATGGATGAACGTACCACCTGGGGGAGGGAGGGGGACCCGCGAGGGGCATTCAAAGGAGAAATCAGTCCAAATTGTAAAACAGCTAGAAAAATGGAAAGACAGATATTACATATTAGAACCTAAAGGATGTAGCTAAAGTGGCCAGGGAATTCACACCTTAATTTTTCCTTTTGTTTTCTTATCAGTGTAAAGTTTTAAGCCTCTACTCAAGAAAAAAAAAGGGCAATTATAATGAAAAGTACAAATTAATGAATTAGAGCCCAGAAAAAAGGTAATTACTAATAAATAAGTCCTAAAGTTGATCTTTGGGGATAAAGAAACCTCATTAGCTAACTAAGGATAAAGGAGAAAAAAGTAAAATCTATATACAGTTTAAGAAATAAGGTGAAATAGTTTTCAAGAGTCAAAAACTATTTTGCTCAACTTGGTCCTGGTAAATGTGAAAACCTGGATAAAAATGGGTATTTTTCTAGATCTAAAGCTAGTAGCTAATACTTTACAAAGTAATCAACACTATTAAATTAAGGCATAAAACTTACAAAACAGGAGGTCAAGCTACTTATAAATGTGAAGAGAGTATAACTGGAAAACCTGAGTCGAAAACCATCAAAAACAATAGAATTCAGCCAAGTGGCAGCAGTTAATAGCTATTCTATGGAAGAAAGACTCGCTGGAAATGGTTGACGAGTCATAAAGAAGCAAACTTTCAAAATGTGCAAGATCTAAATGAAGGCTACACTGAGACGCCCCAGGTATGAGCAGAAAGGTGTCCAGGTTCCTGCAGGGAGAGAGCTGGTCATAACGACGTCCTTCCTGTTTATAAAATTTAATGCAGACCCAGTAAACACACAAGCAATTTGGATCTTACGTTGATAAGTTGATTCTATAGTTCAGATAGAAAAACGCACAGAACAGCCAAGGAAGCTCTGTAGGGATGTGAGAAGAGCAGACAGAAGTGTCACCAGATACTGGCATGTTATGCACCTGCACAGGACGGCGGAAGCGTGAAAACACGCCGAGTGGAAGGAGCCGGTTATCAGGCGCCACATACAGTAACGGGAACCCAGGGTGTGGGGGTAAGGGGCTCGCTCCAAGTGGTGAGAATGTTCTCGGGGGGCCTCCCTGGTGGCACAGGGGTTAACGACACAGCGCTGTCAAGCTGTCCCCAGCCACTGCAGCACAAGTCCAACCCCCAGGCCAGCCAGGGAGCTGACCACATGGTGCAGCAGACATCTCCTGTCCCATCCGCAGCTCCCCTCAGCACTGGGTTTCAGTACATCTGCTTGTTCTGCTCCCCACTGTCTCTGGTGAGCCCTCTCTACACCCCTCTCCCTCCTACCCTGCACCTCTGGCTCACACCCCAGTTCTTATATGCATAAGTAAATCTTTTAAAAAAGGTTCTAGAATTGACCAGTAATAGTTCTAAAATTTGTAAATATACTAAAAAACATTGAATTGTACATGCCAAATGGATAGGTTTGTACGGTATGTGAATTCTATCAACAGCTGTTAAAGTTTGTTAAATGATATTTCAACACACTTGGATCCTTATCTTATTCTTTGTACCACATAAATTACATAACAATTGGAGATCATATTTGAAGAAATTAAGCCCAGAAAAGAATTAGAAGAAACCCTGGGAAAACTTGATCAAGAAAAAAATAGCATGAGAAAGGAGATTCTAACCATGTCCCAAAATGCAGCGGCCATTGGAGAATCCTGGCAATTTTCATTTCACAAAGTAAAACTCCTCCACAGCTGAATCAAAAACAACTGACAGCGGGGGAAAAACTGCCGTCACGTGAGAGACAGAGGGCTGATCCAGCCACACACACAGCGCCCACAATCAGTGGGGATAAAAACTCAGGTGAAAGATGTTGAACCTAAAACTACACCTTGATCCGATTTCACTCGTAGGCAAGCAAAGCCTGAAAACGTGGCGCTGTGCTGTGGTGGCGAAGACGTGGGACACAGGCCACAGCTGCACCGGCCGTGGGCCCAGTCTTTCCACTTCCAGCAATTCATCCTCCAGTTTCAGTCACACCTGTCACACATACTCCGCCGCCTACTCTGCAGTTTGTCTAGTTAACAGGCCACGTGGGGCATTGGCCAGTAAATTACGGCTCCCCCCAACTGCACAGCAGAACGAGGAAGCTCATCCATGCTGACGTGGAAACGTGGTATAGAGTGTAGGGAGTATTTAAGACACCCGGGAGAACACAGTGGAGGACATGGCTGTCTCTGGCTGGACGGAGGGGTGCGGAGGGAGGCTCATCTGTATGCCCTCGCCCACGTGAATACTGGACCCCACCAATGGATTATATCACTAAAGTAAAACGATATTTTAAAAGAAAGCAACATGTAAGCACAGTGACAAATGACAACTGATCTTGTGGTGACCGGAGTTGAATGTCCCCTTTAAAGAGACGTAGCTTAATTCTTCTCAGTGGCTGCTGCACAGCAACACAGGTGTGTTACCAGAGCCACTTGATTATTTTTTTGAGACACTAGACATCCAAATTTTTATGTAAATCTTCCTGTTGTTAAGTGTTTCCAAAATACTTCAAACATATTTTAAATCTAATGATGGCTACAAATAATCAGAAGGTCTGGAATTCCTGTCCCACAGTGTCCCCTAATTAGACTTACTGAGCAAGCCGGGCCCAGACGGGGCAAGGGCATACCCAAGCTCACACCGCACCCGGGGCCCAAATGCCATCCCACGTAGGCCTGTGCTTCCCTGTCTCTGCCAGGGCAGGCAGTGATGGCTGGTGGTGGGGCCACCATAAAGGTGGCTGGGGGCCGTGTCCTTGTGGGCAGGTACCCCAGGGAGGCAGCACAGCTACGGCTCAGAGGCCTAGGCCTGGAGGCACCTGCGGGGGAGGGGGCGCATGGCATTCCCTGCCTACAACTGAGTCTGTCTGCCCTGGAGCAGAAGCAAGCACTGCGGGCTCAGAGAGGGGGTGCATGGAAGGTATCTTGGGGGTGGGGCGCCCACTCACACTTGCGCAGCTCCAGGCTCTTGCTTGGGCAGGCCAGGTGTTGGCCCGGGGGGTTCTGGGTCCTCTGTAGACAGGCCAGCATGGCTGAGCTGGGGGCCCGTGGCAGGGTGCACTCTGCGGCAGGGTCCCTGTAAGGAGAGAGGAGGGGCTGTTACAGGGCTGCTGTGGGCCCACTGACCCTCCCCTCCCCTACCCCACCTGCTGGCCCTGCCAGCAGCCACCTCGCCCCTGCAGAAACTTCCAGAGACACTGTTATTTGGCAGGTGAGCAGGATGAGGGCCCACAGGCACCTTAGGGTGGTGCCTTCCACCATGATGGGCCGAACTCACCCCGAACTCCCTGTTGACAACAGGCCTGGTGGGATCCACCCGTGTTCCCTCAGCGGTATCCTTCCAGCTAGTGGTGGCCTCTCACAACCACTGTGAACAGACCTGCACCCCACCCTTTAGCCTTGACCTTGCCAAGTGCCAAGACCAGTGGGCTCATCTTTGGGACTGACAAGTGGGTGCCTGGGTCCAATGCGTGACACGTTGGCCCGCCCCTTGCACCCAGTGTTCTCACAGCACCCTAGAGGGAAGGTGTCCAGGGAAGAGCGGTGCTCCAGCTCTGACCTGTGCTGACCTTGGCCTCAGACTGCAGGTGAGCCCAAGTCTCCCAGACCCAGGTCTCTGCCCCAGGCAGCCCCGCCCAGCCAGGCTGCTCAGGCCCAGTAGGTGGCCGCTCAGGCTTGCCAGAGGTGCCGCACCCAGGTGAGCTCTATTGGCTCACACAGACAGTGCTGCACACTCCATCGCACTCCTGAAACAGTATTATCTTCCCAAACCCACCTTGCCTGGGCCCCAGAGAGAGGAGGGGCGTCTCCCTACCGGCCGCAGCTCGCCCTCTTCCTGCTAAGGAGAGGGCAGCCTGGTGTGAGCGCAGCTCTGGACACCCGGAGTCCTGAGCCGTCAGGCTGGGTCAAGCCAATCCCGCTGGCTTCAGTGAGGAGGGGCGGGGTGTTTAGGGAGAAGAAAGGGAAGTTATTTAATACTAAACAGGTGTCTGCAGGCCTAAATTCTGCTGCTTTCTTCTAATAATGAAGTATTCATGAGGAAAAGCCTTTTTTCACTACTTTCTTAAGATACTAATTTCACAACAAGCTCCTTGTTACCGCGCAATTATTCCAATCTTGCATTTCCCGAGCCGCTGCAGCCTGCGTCTGTCCTGGCCTCTCGGTAAATGAAAGGCAATCACGTAACCACCTTCATTATGCTCTATTTTACTTTCAGCAAAGGTACCCTGAAAGAAATGATTTACTCTGAAAGGGACTTTTATTCAGTTTCAAAACCAATTTTCTCCTATTACTGTCTCAAAAAGAGAGGAGAGAGAAAGTAGGGGACGGCTGGGGGAGGGGAGATGGCGCTCACACCCCCCCACCCCAGTCGCCAGCCTTAACACAGCGGCGCAATAAAAGCTGCAGTATCCACTTCCCGACTTCGATTTCTGGTAATTTTAAAATATGCCATTACAATCAGCAGAAATTACAGTTTAAGAGGGAGCGAGGGGGGTTCAGCACCGGGAGGAAAGCCCTTGAGGCCGGACCAGGCGGGCTCCTGGGGGCCCCCCGCCTGGGGCACAGCCCTCACTGCGGCCGCCTGCCGCCCGCTGGACACCTAGTGTGTGCCGCTGGCCACCCACAAGCAAGTTCAGACTGACGTGCCCACAGATGCTCACCCTCCCACACCCGGGACAGCCTCTCCTGGCCCGCAGCAGTCTCCAGCTCACCTGGAAGGTCAGCGGCCACCTGCACCCAGGCCGCCGTCTCCCACTCCAGCCCAGAGCAGCAGCCACCTCGGCCACGGGCGTCGGGGTGCACAGGAGAGCCAGAGGCAGCCAGACAGCCTCAGGCCCTGGACCAAGAGACAGCCTGCGCCCAGCAGCAGGGGTGGGGAACTGCCCTTCACCACAGCCAGAGCCTGGCAACCTGGAAGCTGGCGCTTCCCGGGGCCCCGTGCCTGCTGTGTGGCCCCAGGAGAGAGGCTGCCCCTCTCTGACCTTGTAAAAGTGGCTCCATGACCCCTCTCCGGGCATTTCCTCCAGGGTCCTGGCTGTGCTTAGCTTCCCTCTGGAGGTCTTCCCGACTCTGGCCGTCCACGGTGCCAGGCACCCACAACTCCTCACGGGCCATACACCCCAGCATGCCCCACAGCTGAGTAGATAGCTAGGGACTGTCTACTAGGGGGTGAGGACAGGCTGCCTGTTCTGAGGTCTCCACACCAGTACCAGTGCCGATACTGGACACCCAGCAGTCCTGGGAGCAGAGGGTCAGTGACCCAGCACAGGGGCCACAGAAGATTCCCTGGAAAAGATGGTATCAACATGAAGGCCTCAGCGTGGCTGTTTGAGTGCAGTGGCCTGGACCATTTCATGCTTCTGGAGGATCAGCAGCCAAAAGACCATTTAGAGAGAAGGGATTTCTCTCTCTGAACCCACAACCCCCTCAGCTCAATGACCAGTGAAGTCTGTGTCTTACTGCTGGGGCGAGGGGGGCTGACCAGTGTGGACGGGGCCGGGGGCCAGCTGCACCTGAGGAGGAATGGATCCCACTTCCACTTCCTGAAACATGCCCACAGGAAGGCCCTTCCCTTCCCGCTTTTCCTCGGCCCCTGAGCAGAGCCCAGCCCCCTCTGCCTGCCCCCTCCTCTCCTGCTCCGAGCCCTCCTTCCAGTCTGGCTACCGCTCACCTCCAAGCCTTTGTCTGTCCGGGTCCCTCGCCCACAGCACCCCACTCTGAGACTCTGGCTCAGCTGTCCGCTCCTCTGGGCACCCCTCACAGCCCTCATCACGCACAGTTGTAATTGCCAATTTTCATGTCTGTCTTTCTCCACTGGACTGTGAGTTTCTCAGGGGTAAGGACCATGTCTTATTTGTCTCTTTCTCCTCAGTGTCTGGCAAAGAGCAATCATTTAATAAATAGGTGTTGAATGAATGGCTGAATCATTGAATTGGCTATCGTCTAATGAAGTGACTGAGGCCCAGAGAAGCCAAGTGTCCTGCGCAAGGTCACACAGCAAGCTGGACACAGGGCGGGGCAGGCGCCTGCAACACACGGTCATCCCGTGCCCCCAGCGTGCCCCTCCTGCTCCACATCATCATCCAGTCTCAGAAAGCATGCCCCTCAGAGGCTTACCCTGACTCATTACTCCCGGCAAGGGCCATCCCGGGAGCACAGCTCATTGGAAACCCTATCTGCACATCAGGCTGTTCATAAGCCCAAGGTCTTTTGTGACTTTAATAATAAAAGTGTGGGGGGAGATGGCGAAAGCCTCTCTGATTAGAATGCTTTGGCATCATCCCTGACATGGGGGCTGATAAGGCGCCTTATCTTGGAGGCACCCCGAGGAAAAGGTCCCCTCCACCAGATAACACCCCCAGCTGTCGATATGGCCTTTCATAGCTGAGGATTTAGATAAAGGACATATGACAAGGGAGGGGAAAGAAGGAAGGAACTTTCCAAGCCAGAGGAGGAATTGAGCTGGCTGCTTGGCTTGGGAGGACAATGGGGAAGAGAAGGGTGACTACAGGCTCTTTATTTTCATGAAAGAATGGGAACTGGGGCCCTTTGCCCTGCCTGTCTGTGTCATCTCCTGGCCTGTCAGGCTGCAGGGAGGTGTCGGGGAGCCCCTGGGCCAGTGGGAGGGAAGCTGAGATAACAATACCAGCACATTAGCACTACTAAGCTGTGCAGCCATGGGGGGCCTGCGCCGTGCCCCATGTGCATCCTGGCCAGTGGCCCCATGCACCCTCCCAGTGGCCTCTCATGGGAGAGCACAAGTCAGGAAACGGTCACAGAGGGGAAGCAATCTGCACAGGTCACACAGCCTGGAGATGGCAGAACCTGGGGGTGTGGACCCCAGCCTGAGCCTGCACCCCCAGACCCACACGGTAGGGTCTGCACCCCTGGCTCCACTATGGTGGGGGAGCCGATCAGCCCCATGTTTCAGTCGGCTGGGCAGGAAGAAATCGAAGTGAAGACTGGCTCCCCACTGCCCAATTTGACTTTGATATTCCACTCTGGAAGAGTGGGGACAGGGAGCACAGAGAGGGAGATGAGCTGAGGAGAGGGGTTCCCGGAAGGCTACTTTCATAAACTTTCATGGAAGATGCCCTGTGAGGCAGGCCTTGGGCAGAACAATACTGAGGTGATTCAAGCCCAGGCACTGCCCCTGCAGGGGGACCATTTTGTGGTGCAGGTCATTTACCCCCCTTACCCTTCCTTCCACCCACCTGTCCATCCATCCAAGCCGCAAGCAGTTCCTGAGTATCTTTTGAGGTCAGCCCCAGGCCATGTGCTGGGAGACCAGAAAGCACTAAGAATATCCTGCCAAAGGGACCTCCAACCAGACCTGACTTTCCACTCCCAGCCTGTCAAAAATGGACTTTCCTGGCTTCTCTAGCAAGCCTCCAGCATTTCCCTGCAAAGCGAGAGACAGAACTGCTTCACGTGTCCTATAGCACAGACTGCCCTGTGCTAAGCTGGGCTTGCCCTGGAGGGCAGAGAAGTGAGCACATTCTTGGGGTCCACACAGGGTAAGGCTGTAACCTCATGAAGGCCAACATTTATGCAACTTCCAGTCTCTGTCCATCCCTTCCCTGGAGCAATCCACTCTGGCCCCTGTGGTTCCATTCAAGGTCCAAGATTAGCTGTGGCTTGCAGAGGAAGGTCATGCCAGACCCTCCCCAATATGCAATAGGACTAGGAGTTCAGAGGTGGGCCTGCCCTGGAGGCCTGGGGTAGCTCCTCTCAGCAGGAGCCAGTGACTGGGCTCTCTGATTGGCTGAGTGACCTTGGAGAAGCACAGCACCTCTCTGACCTGTTTCCCTCATTGAATCTGGATGGGGAGCCGCCTTTCTGCCAGACACAAAGGTGGGCCCTCGGTCCATCAACACAAAGAGGGTTCCAGAGGACAGGAAGCTGAAAAGACCCAGCAGCTCACATAAAGCAGTGAGGACTCTTGAGTTCCCTGCAAGGAAGATGCCTGCTATTCCTCTGGGCCTGACAATGCTCATGGAGAAGGTGCAGGAGTCCCCTCCAGCCCTTTGCTGTACTTGAGGTTCTCTGTTGTCCTTTTCCCTGACCTGGCCACAG